TGAATTTTTAAAAATCTCTACACAGATTTTACTGAGTGATGCTTCTCCTGGATATTAAATATCTATTTACTAGAATCAGAATACATAGATGTAACTTTAGAACAGTAACTTTTTTGAATTACTGGTAGCCCAAACTAGAGTTTGTGTCTTGATTTAAATTGGATTGCATTTTAACTGCACACATGAGCTATATAATATATATGCAAACAGAGCTACTAAAGTAGAGTCTACATCTATATATTGGTTTGCTTTCCTTCTAGCCTTCTAAATCAGCTTACTTTATACCTTAGAGAATACTTTTATTTCTATAAATAACCCCTTCTCTATTGGCTAACCCAGATAATCCTGCGATCAACCAGGCAACAAGAAGTGTCACTTGAATAGAATATGGAACGATGCTGATCTTATTTCTTGTAGGCTGTTGTGTTAGTTTGGAAGTTCATCATTCAGCAATAGTAGAGGATCTATTAACATTTGTTTTTCATTCCTCCCCGGAGAAGTATTTAGTGGTAGATAAGTGATGCTTTGTAGTTTATTCTTTTGCATTTGGTTTCTTGTAGTTGAATTTAAAGTTTAAAAGGTTCCTAATCTTGACCTGCTCTGGGAATGTATTGCTCTACTCTTAGCAAGCAGTACTGTGAACAGGATTAATGTTTCATCAGCCCTTTTAGCTTGAACAGTAAACTACAATAATAGGGCTTGATTCAAAGCCCCCTGAAATCAGTACTCCCATTGATTTCAATGTGCTTCGGATCAAGCCCATAAACAATAAACAAAATGGTGGGAAATTTGGGATTGTCTCTATTTAGCAGTGTTACCCTTGTAAGGAAGTAGAACTTGTGCATATTAGAGGGTTGCTATTCATTTTGAGTATGTCTACATTTATTATTTCAGTTGTGTATTAACACACTGACTTATAGAATCAGAAATGTAGGGCTGGAAGGGACCTTGAGAAGTCAAGTCTAGTCCCCTACAATCAGGCAGGATCAAGTAAACATAAACCATCCCTGACAGGTGTTTGTCTAACCTGTTCCTAGAAACCTCCAATGATGGGGATTCCACAATGTCCCTTGTAAGCCTACTCCAAACCTTAACTGCCTTTTATAGTTAGAAAGTTTTTCCTAATATCCAACCTAAGTGTCCCTTGCTGCAGATAATACATAGACTATCAGGGTTAGAAGGGACCTCAGGAGGTCATCTAGTCCAACCCCCTGCTCAAAGCAGGACCAATCCCCAGACAGATTTTTGCCCCAGATCCCTAAGTGGTCCCCTCAAGGACTGAGCTCACAATCCTGGGTTTACCAGGCTAATGCTCAAACCACTGAGCTATCCCTCCCCCCCCCTTAAACCCATAACTTCTTATCCTGCTTTCAGTGGATGGGTCAGCTAAGAGTATGTCATGCACTTGCCACTTGGCGTTAAGAAGATTCAATATTTCAGGATCATCATCATCAAACCAGTCTGCATGATAGCATTTCCTATATCTATCGCAGTCCAGAACAGCATTATAGATTGTATCATGCAGGGACAATCTTTCAGCAGATAAGTCATCACTAATTGTTGGAAGAGTTAGCTGTGTTGAGAATTGTTCAGCAGTTGACGGATCTTTCAGACAGGCAACATTTAAATATTTAATTGACTAGTTTTTACACATTTTTGGCTGAATAAAAAGGGAAAACTTTGATCAATCAAGATGGTTGTCAGTCCCCCAATCTGCTCCGTGTAATACTCGGGTTATGTGCACATCTCATAGGTCCCGCTGTCAGACCAACACATAGTCAGTGACGTGAGCCTACCGTTTTGTATTTGTCGGTAGGCCAGTAACTCTGTCACAGTAGGAAATTAGGTTGATTTGTTCTTGACAAATCCATGCTGGCTATGCCTTAGTACCCTATTATCCTCTAGATGCTTTCAAATTAATTGTTTAATAATTTGTTCCAGTATCTTTCCAGGTATCGAACTTAGGCTGACTGATCTATAATTCCCTGTCCTCTTTGTTCCCCGATAAAAGATGCACCACCACCCACAGTGCTGCCTAGAGGTCAGGTGGAGGTAGACATGTCTCCTGCAAGGCTAACCCTTGCTCTCCAGTGTGGGGTTTGTAAACCCCATCACCTGCCCTTTTTAAAGAGAAGTCCTATGTTTGCCCCTCTTCAGTCCTGTGGGATCTCACCCGTCCTGTGTGAGTTCTTGAAGATAATTTCTAACAGTTCCAAGATTGCTTTCAGCTAATTCCTTAAGTGCCCTAGGTTGAATTTCATCAGGCCCTGCCAACCTGAATACATCTAACTTATCTAAATATTCTTTAACCTGTTCTTTCCCTGTTTTGGCTTCCATTCCTTCCCCTTGTTCTTAATATTAATTGTGTTGAGTATCTGGTCACCACTAACCTTTTTAGTAAAGACTGAAGCAAAACAGGCATTAAACACCACAGCCTTCTTGATGTCATCAGTTATTAGCTCTCCCTCCCTCCCTGCTAAATAGAGGACCTACGCTTTCCTTCATCGTTATTTTGCTTCTAATGTATTTAAAAAACATATTCTTATTGCCTTTTATATCCCTTGCTAGGTGTAGCTCATTTTGTGCCTTAGCCTTTGTTACATTATTGTAAGTTTTAGTGTGGACAAAACACATTTGTTACTAGTTGTGTGGTTAAATTTGTATTTTTTAAGTTGTCAGCATGTTGATGAATAAGTCTGAAAGTCTATGTACTTGTTGTCCTCCTACCCCATCCTTTACCATTAGTCATCTTAGATTGTAAATTCTTTGGGGTTAGAGTGTGTCTACCTTTATGTTTGTGCAGCACCTAATACAAAGCAGTCCTATCCGGACCTGGGTGCTACCATCACATATATATTTAACAACATACAGTACCTTAGATAGTATAAATTTCCAGTTTTATTAACTGACAATTTATGATAGGCACAGGCACAAAAAGGTAGCGTTAAGGTTGAGATTTCAATCTTACCATTGCATTTCCAGACTTGAGAGCTTAGCCTTAGCATTATGCTATCACTTCTTAAAAGCATAGAATTGGGATTGACATTTGTTAACTTTCTACTTGCATCCTACAAAAACTTTTTTTTTTAAATAACTCCTCCTCAACAATTCCCCCTGTACAAGGGATGGTGTATGTTCATTTATTAGTTGTGTCAGATAGTTTAGTTGATTGATATTCAATTAATGCCCATGTTACAGGTGGTCAGAGGTGTCATATATAACTTTGGTTTTCCAGTGTTATCAGAAGCTTAGTTGGGATGATCTGTGTAGTGAGATCTTCCTTTGGAGCTTATTAATACCACTTGCACTGGAATAGGAGTGCTACATTAAAAGGCTGCGTTCTAAAGAAAAGTGCTGATAGTTAATTTCACTGGATCCTGAAGTCTTGTATCCACAGAATAGGACGGTAGTGCAGAGACAGTAGCAGGACAGGTTTCCCATTTCCCTTAGCCAATGTGTCTCAATCCTGATCTAGAGGGAGCCACCTTCAGGAGCAGTCTCCATGGCCCATTGTGTCCTTGGCCTCCAACAAAAATATTTAGAACTCGGAACTCTTCCCATCTACAGAGCACTTTACAACCTAGAACTAACTCATCCTCATACCACCATCAGGAGATTGGCAAGTATCATTATCCCCATTTCCAAAACTAAAGTTCAGTGACATGCCTGGAGGGCCTCTGGGTCTGAGCTAGGATTTGAACTGTGAGTTCCTGGCTCCAGGTCCTACTGGTCTGAGCACAGAGCACACATGGCTGCCAATCAGTGCCTCTTATGGTAGTTTTTTTTATGGGAACACCTGACCAGTAGAGACTGGACTGAAAACCAGATGACCCAAAAGGGATGAAGAGGCTTTTCCTCCACAGACACATCCCAGAGAGGGAGGATGATTATAATTAGGTGTGATAGCAAGATTCCCATTGGGGCTCCATTGTGATAGGTGCCATACAAACACATGGTAAGAGCTAGTCCCTGCCCGGAAGAGCTTACATTCTAAACAGGCAAGATGGAGAAAGGGTGTGGGAGGGGACAGAGAGGCACTGAGTGATTAAGTGACTTGCCTGAGGTCACCTAGCAAATCACTGGCAGAGCTCTTGACTCTGTTGCCCCATCTACTTGCCGCACTGCCTCTCTGTTGTGTGGCTGTGCTTGTCAGAAGGGTTCTGAATCAAAGTAGGGTAACCGGTGTTCCTCAGTTATATGCCAGCACCCAGAATGCTCTTCCGCTGACCGTTATTTCATAGCAGTGCAGGTGTCTGAGCACTGGCACCAGCACAGGTTTATGTTGTGTTCACGTGCACAATTTTCTGGTGGTTTGCATTGTAAAGAAACCGACGTGCCGATTCCATTTCCTAATCCTGGGGCTGAGCCTGGCTGATGTTTGAAGTTTTCTTAACTAGGAGGTACAGTGATCTGAGATACTTTTGTGAACTGCTGCATCCTCAGAAACCTGAACTACACGTTTCATTTGCCCAGCGTATTTTAGAGGACTGGTAAATGGGGTTTTGGATAACCAGGAGTGTTACTGGCTAAGGCAGTCATGACAGAGCACATAGCAACCTAGAAAGAGGGAGATTTGGATTAATGGGGTTTTGTTGGTGGTAAAGATAATCCAGATCACCTGGTGGCTTGACTGCAGCTCGTTAATGTACCTCATCCTTGGGAGTTGCTCCCTGGCACAGTGAATACTGAATAGGCTACAGGAGTTGAGTTGAGCAACACATCCTTTGAATGGCCCCCATCAGCTGGCATGCTGAGTGATATTCGAGGCAGTTGTGTGCTCCTAGACCCAAGGTGATGCTGCATGTGGGAGTGGGGCACTGAGAGAACAGAAGTGGAGAAATGGAAGAATGAAAGGCTGGGGCAAGTCCTCAGATTCTGTCTGCGCTGGTGGTGGGATCTGCTGCCATGTACCGCGAAGCAGAGGGAGGAGGGCAAGGCTGTGGAGGGGGGGAAAAGTTTCAGCATGGGAAATAACATCTGGGATTTCCTGGCTGCCACAGGGTTTACTGTCAATTCTGCGCAAACTGAAGAGTGCACCAGACCAGGAGGTGAGAATCCTCCTCCTGGGACTAGATAATGCAGGCAAGACCACACTCCTGAAACAGCTGGCATCTGAAGACATCAGCCACATCACACCGACACAGGTAAGGAAGGTTCTTCCTGGGCCTGCAGGCTGCTGTGTGTTCTGTTTCCATTCCACACACCATGTTAACCATGTTTCAGATACAAGCTATGCCTGTGAAATGCTAAAAGGCTGCACGCAGAACTAAATTAGAAAGGCTATTATCATTATATTGGTGTGTTTTCAACTGCAGAAAGGGAGCCAGTCCCAAATCAGTGTATAGCTGGAGAATGTAAATTTTGCACCCTTTGAGCCAGATTCTGACCTCACGTATGTTGGTGTGTATCTGGACTAACTCCATGGAGTTCAGGGGAATTACTTGGGATTTATCCGGGTGTAACAGAAATCAGATTTTGGTCCCATTTGTTTTAAAACAAAGAGCATCTATTTGGAGATAGTGCAGGACTTGTACATTTCTCTCTGTGCTCCTTGCTTCTTTCCCCCTGGGCATTCCTAGAGCCCCACAGATCATGAATCCCACAGTTCATGTCATCCCTAGTTGTTGCCTTTTACTCCCCCGATTCAAGGCTCCCCACTGGGACATTTGTGTCCCTCCAGTCCAAAATGCCATCAGCACCACTCCTGACTTGACCAGAGGAGGCTGCTAGCGAGCTACGCAAGGTGCTCGTCTCTCCCCCTCCCCTAGAAGCGGAGTGCACTGCCTCACAGCATTCCCATCCCCCGGCACCCCAGAGCAAAAGCCCACGCTCAGATTCCAAGCTCTGATCCCCTGGGTCATGTGGCAGCACGTTGCCAGGCCACACCACATCCTGTTTTTCCAGTTGAACACCCTTTCAGTTGGAGCTTTAGTTGCTGAAACGGACCCTTCAGATATGCAGCTGTTCTTTTAAGCTGAGCACTAGCGTGGTGTCGAATGAAGCTTAGTCCTCTGGCTTTGGGTTAGACTGTACTGTGGACTCAGTTTTCAGAGGCTCACGCCTGCTCCTCCCGGTGCCCTCTGTTTTTTTCCTTATCAGCATCTCTCTCTCACCTCTTGCTGTATCCACCCTTCCGAGCCCTCCAAAGACATTAACAGCAACATATGTCTCTGTAGCCATGACAATGTCAGCCCTTGATCCAGGAACATAGGCAAGCTGACATGCATGAGGCTGCTGTTCTCTTTCCTCTTCACCTCTCCCACAGCTGATCCATCTGAACAGCAACACGGCCCTATCTTGCCATGCTTTTCAGCAGGGTGATATATAAGCTGCTAATGGTGCGCGCTCATGAATATGATCCTGAGTTTCAGGTTAACACAGTGTGTGGTTTTACTTATGCTCGTTACAGGGCTTTAACATTAAAAGTGTACAGTCTCAAGGGTTTAAGCTGAACGTGTGGGACATTGGTGGACAGAGGAAGATCAGGCCGTACTGGAGGAACTATTTTGAAAACACTGATGTTCTTGTAAGTATTGGCCACAGCTGAGTGCTTGTTAATGCAACGGCTTTCCAAGTTCTCAGGCAGAAAGACAGGCAGTGCTAAACGCCCTAATTCTGAGTAACACCATTGTTGGCAGAACATTCATCATTCCGAACCCATTGGCAAGACTGGATACATTGGGGGAAATGGTGGAATCGGCAGAAACGGTTCAAATTTATTTTTGACTTTTCCAGCACTTTGTGCTGATCACTCCTATACATGCTCAATTACAAGTCCCTCAGGTATTAATGGCATAATGTTAACATATACTTTGCACATCTGTAGCAGTGTCCATTGGAGAATCTTAAGGCATTTTACAGGTACTAATGAATTAAGCCACAAATAGTGAGGTAGGTTCAGTATTATCCTCCTTTTACAGATGGGGAAACAGAGGCACAGAACAGTTAAATGACTTGCCCAAGGTCAGCCAGGGCAGTCTGTGGAAGAGAGGCAGGAAGAGAACCCTATCTTTAATTACAAGACTATCCTTCCATACCTATTTGAAGGTTAATGTTTGTAAAGCTCTAAACATGAAAACTTTAACTAAATGCTTAATTATAATGTAGGGCCTTTACAGTTACAGGATGGGACACATTTCATCCTAGAGCACTGTACAGAATATATACAAAATGCAGCCACTTCTGGGGGCAGGGTGGCAGCTCGCTGGCACACACAACCCTGCACAGTGGGGGAAGAGGAGGAATATTGGCAAATCCCCCACTCTTACCAAAAGTTCTGTAGAGTCTGTACAGATCAGCAAGGGCCTTTGATCTTGAGGTAGCATCTGACAGACACTGCCTAGCTGTATGGCACTCAAGTTAACCCCCATAAAAGGTTTAAAAGCTGAATTGACTCAGCCAACAACAGAACCTATGGTGCCAGTAAGTTTAGGAAATCCAAACCCAATGCTTAGATCACTGAGGCTATGTCTACACTGTACAGTTGTCCGAGTGATTGGCACCCAGGTGTGAGCACCTGGGTTAGCCTTGCCTGGGTGTGAGCATCCCCACTGCAGAGCTCGAACCGCGTTACTGTGTCCTCATTGTTTCTGCATTCACCTGTGTGTGCCTGGGAGTATGTCCCATGATTTTGTGTTGAGACGGCTCAGGATTCTTTCCCAGTTGGTTGTGTCAATCGCGAGAGAACTTGTCTGTCCTCTGGGCTGGGGATTTGTGGAAAGGCACTGGAGAGCTGTCAGCACTTGAGTGACTTAGCCTGCATCCTCACTTGCAAAGTGGGGGAGTTCCAGCCTGAGCCTAAGCTCTAACCCACATCCCTCACCGGCTAAGCTCATCTGAACAGTGAGTTGTTGCTATCACATCGTTTTACAGATGGGAGAAACTGAGGCATAGATGGAATGTGACATGCCTGTGAACACATAGAAAGTCTTACATTACTTAGACTGTAAGCTCTTTGGGACTTTCTTCTTATATGTTCACACAGCAGCTAGCACAGTGAGGTCTTGGTCAATGACTGTGGCTCCTAGGAGTGGTGCTACCTCAATACAAAATAATAATTAAAAGTCAATATCAGAGCCAGGAATAGGCTCCTAATCTCCTGTAGCGTGCCATGTTCTAATCACTAAACATGCTGCCTTTCACCAAGGCGCTGCCCAATAAAAGGGGGAGGGATAGCTCAGTGGTTTGAGCATTGGCCTGCTAAAGCCAGGGTTGTGAGTTCAATCCTTGAGGGGGCCACTTAGGGATCTGGGGCAAAATCAGTACTTGGTCCTGCTAGTAAAGGCAGGGGGCTGGACTTGATGACCTTTTGGGGTCCCTTCCAGTTCTATGAGATAGGAATATCTCCATATATTATTATTATTATTATTATTATTGTTGGTGGGGAGGGATAGCTCAGTGGTTTGAGCATTAGCCTGCTAAACCCAGGATTGTGAGTTCAATCCTTGAGGGGGGCATTTAGGAATCTGGGGCAAAAATCTGTCTGGGGATTGGTCCTGCTTTGAGCAGGGGATTGGACTAGATGACCTCCTGAGGTCCCTTCCAACCCTAATATTCTATGACTTTATAAAATACACAACAGATACTAAATAGCCAGGCTACTCAGCATCACTATAGCAGGGGTAGAGGATGGGCCTACAGAGAGGGGGCCAAGGTTAACATAAAAAGACATCTTGGAGTAGAGTGACTTTAGTTGCTGAATGCAGGGAGGGATGGGCAGAGGAGCTGTATGGGGAGGGAGAGTACCACATTTTAGGAGCCAGCCATTACAACAAAGCCTGGGTCACTTGCCTTCCCAAAGCACAAGGGCGAGACCTTACAAGGAGGGAGCTGTGAGAGAGAGACCGGCCAGCGCAGGGCTGAAGAGGGGGAGGTCCCTTCTCCATTACGGGCTTTCAAAAACAGCAGGGCCAATTTAGTCAGCAAGCTCCTGTATAGGCAATCAAGGCACAAAACGCAGGGCAGGTATGAAATGATCACGACTACTCCATCAGGGATTATCTACGGTGCTGCGTATGGTGGGCAAGCACTATGCAAGCAGGCAAAAGTTAGCACTGCAAAGCAGCAGCCAGGGAGCCTTTGACTGCTATAGCAGACACTCCAAGTCTGCGCATTGTGAAGATAGCTACTGAGTCTCCACGGGTATATTGCAGGCCATGTGAGTCCCAGTTCTCCCTTGCCAAGCTTGTAGCAGCAATTAAACCACCACGTTCCCATTGCATTTACTGCAAGGGAGGGGAGATGGGAAAATAAAGGATAATTCTAAGCCTGGAGGAGCAGAAAGAACCCCTCATCTCTCCCCCAGCCTACTCTATACAACTGGAAAACCCTGTGTTGTAGGAGTAAGAAAATGGGCAGTGAGGAAAAGGACCGGGTGCAGCACTGGTGGATGGGAAGGTGGGAGTTGTACAGCAGCTGGTAGCAGTCACTTCCTGACCCATTTTCACCACAATTTGCATGGAAATTGCAACCCATTTACACCAGACTTGACATTGGCCCATTTTTTTTTAGAAAGCACCTGAAATGCAGGTGAGTGTATTTCTCACGCTCTGTCCATGCTGGCACAGCTTTACAAAGATAATTTAAACTGGAGTTGTGCCACAGAGCCCATTCTACCCCTCCAGTAACCAGTTCAGATGGGCTTTGCAATGCAGGGACTATGCAGCCAAGATAAGGTACTGTCCCAAGACTCCTGCCTTGGCTCCATTCAGAACTGCATTGCACAAAGAGAGAGGACCCTCCAAAATGTTTGAAAACCATGAAGTGATTGCACATTCAAATCAGTGCAGATGTGTTTGAATGGGAGATACTCCAGCTCGACACACCTGTGATATTTGGAAGCTTAACCCAGTCAAATAAGGTGCGTCTGTTTGGATGATTGCATATTCAGACACACACCTGCAGCGATTTCGCATGTGGCTTTCTGCTTTGGAAGTAGGCACTCTACATGTGCTGAGCTGGTTGGCGTTGTGCTGGGCACTGGGGGATTGCCTGCAGCCCTGTCACCTCAAACTGTAATCTAGTCAGATCTCGCAAGTTAAGTGCCAATAGGAGACCCCCAGAGAAAACCCAGTGGCTGCTGGAGAAAGGATCGGTGAGTGTTAGGGGGCACTCCCTGTGAGCGCTGAACTAATGCCCCAGCAGCGTGAGATGGGGACTCTGGTGCTGGAGAGGTCATCTTTCAGGTGAGATGTAAGGCTCAGTACCTGACCAGTCATCCTCACTACACATCCCATGACACTTTCTTCAAGAGCAGGGGTGTCTGCCCCAGTGCCCTGACCACATTTCAGTTTGGAGAATTACGTTCTGTCCCTTAACTACCTCACTTTTGGCTGGAGATGGTGGTCCTCACTTCCTGTCCTAAACAGTTCCTGTGTGCGGTAGCTAAACAGCTAGCGTTTCATCCTAGAGGTGGCAGCTGTTGATACTCCTTTTTGTATAATTTATCAAGTTTGCCAACAGTAGCTAAGATATGGCATCCTCACTGAGGAAAGCACTTAATGACATTTTAAATAGCTATTTATTATAGTTTAGTTATTTATTTTTAACTATTTATTTTTAGCTATTTATTATATCATTTAGAGCTTAGGAAAGATGTTGAAATGACACCAGATCCCTCAGGTTACCCACTGAGCACGGACCAGTATAGTATGGGCAGCGGCATTGCAAGCTTCCTATGCATATGCTGTCCTCCACCAATGTGCATCAGCTCTGACTTGTAAGAATCATGAAACCAGAGTAAGTAGAGAAAAAATGCATGAGGTCACCAGTTACCTCTTCCCCTGGCAAGCATACGAGTTTTCCTCACAGCATATTAAGTCCATACTAACTCCAGCCTTTCCCAGTCAAAAAAGCAAACAGAATGTTGGGAATCATTAAGAAAGGGATAGATAAGAAGACAGAATATATCATATTGCCTCCATATAAATCCCTGGTACGCCTACATCTTAAATACTTCATGCAGATGTGGTCACCCCATCTCAAAAAAGATATATTGGAATTGGAAAAGGTACAGAAAAGAGAAACAAAAATGATTAGGGGTATGGAACAGCTTTCATATGAGAAAAGATTAATAAGACTGGGACTGTTCAGCTTGGAAAAGAGATGATTTAGGGGGGATATGATAGAGGTCTATAAAATCATGACTGGTGTGGAGAAAGTGAATAAGGAAGTGTTATTTACTACTCCTCATAACACAAGAACTAGGGGTCACCAAATGAAATTAATAGGCAGCAGGTTTAAAACAAACAAAAGAAAGTATTTCTTCACACAATGCACAGTCAACCTGTGGAACTCCTTGCCAGAGGATGTTGTGAAGGCCAAGACTGTAACAGATAAGGTTGATTTTGGTCAGCTTAATCCTTCCTGTGTTACATTATATGCAAACAGTAAGGCTCCACATTTATTTAGGCCTATTGTTTTAAACAACTGAACTGTTTCAACCACATTAGCGATGAACCAGGGGCATAGTTCAAAGGGATGAGAGCAGCTGGCTTTACTAAATGCATATCTAGCAAGAACTTCAAGGAGCCTGAAAGACTGTGTGGAGATAAAACCTCTTCCACAGGTTATGCCACTTTGCATTTACCCCCAAAGGGTTCAAAAACAAGTTCTTAGTCTGCCAAGGAAGGAAACTAACTAATTCAGTGCTGGTGAAAGATGCCGAACTCACCGACCTCTCCATAAAACAAACGGGGAGAGCATAAGCAGTAGAAGTGCAAGCTCCCCTCACGCTGCCCCCTGTCCAATGGCCTTAGCCCTGCCCTGGAAAGAAATTCAATCTCCATGACCAATTCAGTCCATTTCTTGGATGTCAACACAGTTAGTAGTGGTTTATCTGGACACATTCCTACTGGGAGGCTGCCTGATTTACTGTACTGAGCATCTGATCCCAGCCCTGCCAGCAACCCCCTCTCTGACCTTGACCAGTCACAGCCCCTTTCTCCCCCATCTGTAAAACAGGGATAGTTGCCTACCTTCTGGGGTATGGGGAGGGGTAGTTAATGTTTGCACAGCACTTTACATAAATGTTTGTGCCTGTGTAAATGATAAGGATTGCTATTGGGAACTGGATTCAATTCAGTTTTACACAGGCTACTACATCCTTCAATGTCTTCCTTTGCCTGTTTCCTTTGTAGATCTACGTCATTGACAGCGCCGATAGAAAAAGGTTTGAAGAAACAGGTCAGGTAAGTAACTTATGTTCAGTTCTCTCTGAAGTAAGGTTCCTTAACGCCCTTTGCATATAGAAGTTAGGAATATATTTGTTGTTGTTTTGTGTGTGGAAATTTGCATTTCAAGTGGGACTTTCCTTTCAGCATCAGCACAAATTATTAATTGTCTATTAATTTGATGAAGGGGCTACCCTTGGTTCACCTCTACCAGAAAAAATGGAACCAAATGTTTAAAGCCTAAACCTTTTCAGGTCCTCCTGAATCTTGCCAAAACAAGACCACAAGGAATCATGTTCTTACGATTTCCAATTAAATTTGTAAATACTGACTTGAATGTCACTTGGGTCGAATCAGAAACCTTTCGAAAAGTTTTGTAACTCAAGTCTGGTTTTCAAAATGCAAGTAGGTTGCTTTTTTGGCCTAGAATCTGATCTGTGATGCAACTCATTCTTCCACAGCAGTGCAAGATCTTCCCCCCCCCCCCCCCCCCCCCCCAAACAAGGACAATCTCTAGCGGTTCAGACTCGCTAAATTCCATACCCTTTCAGTTCTTGGCTTCTCTACCAAGACTGCCATATAGGGTGCCAGTTAGTGCCAGCTGTGTTGGGCTTGTCACATGGACACTTGTTAGTTAAGAAGTGACATGAAGCTGTCCTCTCATTTCATACTAGGCCATTGCACAACCAGCGGACGTTAAGGTCTTTTGATCACTGTGGATCTATAGTGGATTTGGGCCGGGACACTGAGGTAAAAGGCTTAGTTCCCACCCTCTTGAGCCATCCACTCCCCAACGAGCACATGTTTTGCAAAATACCCTGCAACATGTCGTGCAAGTGAAACTAAAGTCTGGCCAATAACACCTATCGTCCAGCCTGGCTTTCAGCATTCCTTCAGTAGTTAACACAGCTTCCTTGTGGGAGGGAGATTTTTGTTTCTGAAACAAGATTCTCTTTTACGAGTTACAGTTCATAAAACTTGGAACAAAAATCCAAGCTTGTTACTAGCATCATCACAGAGGTTCAAATATATTAGAGATAGAACCACCTGATTTCAAGGATGAGTCAGGCAATAACTCCATTGACAAGGTTTTTGCTGTATTTTGTGTTGGTTTCCAGAGAGCAGGGATTGGCAAAATGCAGAGTTGTAGCCTTTAAGACAACTGTTAATTTCAAACTAAGCTAAAGACTCATGTAACCCGTAATTGAAAGAACTTGCTTCTGAACCTTGAGCACAGATGATTGTATACGCTCTTGCTTTTTTGTAATGGGATCTAGATTTCACTGGAACATTCACTTCCAACATTTGCCCTAAATATAATTCTAATTAGAGACATGATCAACCTCTGGTGGTTAAAGGCTTCTCTCACTCCCCCCGCCACTCCCTTTTTAAATGATATAGGAGCTGGCCGAGCTCTTGGATGAAGAAAAGCTCAGCGGAGTCCCTGTGCTCATATTTGCTAACAAGCAAGATTTGCTTACGGCTGCCCCTGCTTCGGAGATTGCTGAGGGACTGAATCTACACACGATCCGTGACAGAATCTGGCAGATCCAGTCTTGTTCAGCCCTCACAGGAGAAGGCGTGCAGGTGAGGTGATAGCGAGGGCTTGTTGTGCCAACATACCTTACTGAATGAGGAGAGGCTGTGTGGTCTTATGAAGGAGGCTAGTGATCACAAGAACTCCTCAGAAGGCAGAATATCTTAATCCAGTTATAGGAAGGCATTTATTTATTTTAAAGAGATGCTGTCAGGTTAATCATTTCATGAAATAAGTTGTCTTACCTGTGCTGTTAACCCCTTAGATTACTACTGCGCAAAACTTTCAAAATCGAATTTACTTCCACTGATGCTGGGTTTTGCTTCAGCTCAGACAATGGAGAGAGGCTGGTCAGTTTCACTTTGGTCCAGCCTACCTCATAAAAGAGCTACCCGATGGTGGGACCCGCTTATGACGGTAGCACCTGACGTGGCTAAAACCCTGTAGGCTGAGCCACGTTCTCGAATCAAGACTGAAATGTATTTTTAACTTTGTCGGGTGCTACCACATAGTAACCAGGTCCTACAACATGGTAATTTTTTGTAACGTAAATGGGACTTACGTTTTGTCAGTTTCACGCTTTCGTGCATTAGTATAATACTTGAATACTTTGCGTTGCAAACACTGCAGGAGAATGTTTACATTCCAACCCAACTCTTTTCCTTAGAATTAAAAAAAAAATCTGTCTCTACAGAACCCAAAGTGTAGGCCTAAATATACCAGACAGTGGCCTTCAAAGAGCTTTTATTTATTTAGCTGAGATATAAACTTGGCTGCATTTGCAGCCAAGCTAGTGAAACATTTCAGCCTTGCAATCTTTATTTTGAAGTGGTGCTGTTACAGGGTATGATAACATTATACTAGCTCAGTAGGTGACTGGGACTTGCTGTTTCCTAATGAATTTTTGCCCCACAATGGCTATTATTCAACCATGAAATACTCTTGAAGAAATAAAGAAATAATGCAAAAAGGAACACAAGTTTATATTTCAAATGTTTTCATGCATCCCCATGTCACCTCCTCCCTCTCCCCACCCGCCCGCCCTAGGCTCTCACCCACTTTGTTGCTTCTACTCTTTTCTCCAGGAGGGAGCTGTGTTGGCCCAACAACTGTAAACACAATTGGGTGTGGAAGAATTAAATGCTGAAAAATGAGATTATCAGCTTCACCTCTATTAGCTGAAAAATGCTTCTCTCCCCAGCTGATCCAAGTCTTTCTAGACCTGCCTGCCTCCTTATTATTGTCTGCTGCTTCTTATTTTGCCTTCAGATGTGTGCAGTGCACATGTGTGTATCTAGTAAAGTCTAAAACAACCTAGTACATGGAAGTAAAATCGTCTCCTGTGCTTATGTCCAGATAGCAGAGGGCAGGGGCCAAGTCATTAAGTATCTGCAGACTTAAATGTTTTGTTCATCACCCTAAACTAAGTGAAATGCATTTAGATGTGTGCCAGATAATGTCTCACTTTGTCACCCCCATTTTCTGGTACTGTAAAAGATGGCAGCTTATTACAGCCGTCATAACCCGCCCTAGAACTTGTAGAGTGAATAGCCATCCCCATTCCCAACAAGCTCAGAGAGGATGGATGGTCTTATGTTTAAGGCACTTGCCTAGAGCTTGGGAGACCTAGGTTCAAGTTCCTGCTCCACTCCAAACTTCCTGTGTAGACGTTGGCAAATCCCTTAGTCTCTCTATGCCTCAGTGTCCCCTCTGTACAATGGGAATAACAGCCCTGCCCTGCCTCAGAGGGGTGTTGTGAGGAGAAATCCATTAAAGAACATGAGGTGCTCAGATGTTGCAATGATGGAGGCCACATAAGTACCTTTTTTTTCTTAATGGAGATATCCTATCTCCTAGAACTGGAAGGGAGCTTGAAAGGTCATTGAGTCCAGCCCCCTGCCTTCACTAGTAGGACCAAGTACTGATTTTGCCCCAGATCCCTAAGTGGCCCCCTCAAGGATTGAACTCACAACCCTAGGTTTAGCAGGCCAATGCTCAAACCACTGAGCTATCCCTCCCCCAAATAGATATCTAGATAGGCAGACAGCACTTCACCTCCATGGCGACACAAACATCATCAAACCAGACAGCAAGAGGCTCTCGCTTTGGCCAGTAAACTTTTTGAACAAGACAACCTTTCTAGAAATACAACTAGAGCAAGGATTTTATATCTCAGTTTGCTCAGCTGAGGGAGGAGTATTTATCCTGCCTTAGCCTCGTGTCCTTTGGGTTTGTCCCATGAAACCACAGAGGCGGACCACCCCCTCAAAATGTGGGGAGGGGAAAGAACAACACATTTAAGGAGTTGGGATTAAGATAAAAGCTGTCATATAGGGAGCTATAGTTTAGATCCCTGGGCACTACTCTGAGAACTTCTCAGAGAATGTTGAGTTTAGTGACAGAAAAATAAATGAAGATGCTGGAAGCCAAGAAGCATGAGGTATTTAGAACGAAACCAAGAGAGCAAGCCTGCTGCCATTGCTGTCAATGGAGTATAGCACCCAGTTAGACCTGAGAGACGATACCAATGGATTTTGATAAGAGGGGTTTCTCCGGAATGAGTATGTGCAGGAACTGAGTTCATAGGGAAGGTTTGGTGAGGGCCCCAAGGAAGAACAGTGAGCAAGGATAAATAATGACAATAACCGAAGGGGAACCAGTTTGAAGGTCATTTAATTAGTTTAGTTGCTAGTGCCATGGTGTATCGAATTGGGTAGTTAAGACTGGGGATTTCAAGGTTAATGAGATTAGATTATGGTTAATAGAATGATATAAATTTAGAGAATTTAACTATTATTTGAAATAGGTTCGTTAATAAAAATGTTAATTAAGAAGGGAATCTGCGTTGTCATCTTGTCCTTTAACATTAACCTTTTGGGACTTGAGAAAGGTCACAGCAGCTTCCTTGGAAAGCCGTGACTAAAGGTGACTGGGTTAGAGGGAACCCCCGCAGGTTAGCTCCCTGCACCGAGCTGTCACCCACTGAGCTGCCAATACCACCACCTTGTTTCCTCTTCCAAAGAACAGTTTCATTGCCTCCTCACCCTCCTTCGTGAAGCCGTGGAAATATCATTCATTTTGTTAATGAGACTATGACATTGTTCAAAGAAGAGAGACTTCTATTACGCTTTGAGTGCATTTGAAGCAGACCCTTGCTTTGTCTGTAATTCAGAGCTAGCAAAGGCAGAAGGATTGTCTCTCTGCAGTAAAAACAACAAGAAGAAGAAGTCCGGTGGCACCTTAAAGACTAACAGATTTATTTGGGCATTTATTTGGTTTTTTACCCACGAAAGCTTATGTCCAAATAAATCTGTTAGTCTTTAAGGTGCCGACGGACTCCTCGTTGTTGTTGTGGATACAGACTAACACGGCTACCCCTGATACTGTCTCTGCAGTAGCGATTTGGATTCTGACTCACGTTCTGGCATAAAGACTCACCCGGTTTGCAAGTGAAAGCTCATGTTTATATACCATTGACAACTTGACAACGTAGCAGAATAACAGAGGCAGTGTAATAAGTGGGCTATGTATGGTATATGGTATGAGGTGGTAATTGGTTCTGGTGACAAAACACATGAAGGGCAGGGGAAGCAGTGCCTCACAACAGTGATTTGTTGGCATTTAGATGCTCTGGGGGATGCATTGTGAGAACAAAGTATCTAACTGCACTCTGTGTGTGAGAGTAATGTATATTGTGCCATGATCTTACAACACGGCAGGTAGACAGAGATGGGGTGGGAAGGGGCAGCCACATGTGTTTCATTTTGCTGTCTACCCTCCTGTTGGACATGCTTAATAAGAATCCTGATCGTTTGCTGGACGTGATTCATGCCTTTGGACCAGTCTGCATTGCACAGTTTGCTGCATCGTGGGACCATTTTATAATATCACTGAGATGGGACCAAACGGTGCGACTGCCCTGTAAAGGCTGAGGGCAGGTTCCTCAGAATGGTGCAGAGGGTCCTTAAAGCTGTCCTGAATGGGCAGTGGGGGGGAACCTCCGTTGGCATAATGCTGGAATGCATTGTGCGCTGGTCAGCCTCACAACAGTAATGGCCCCTGTGAGGCCATTACAAGTCTGTGGAAATTAGAGCAGCCTTTAAACTGTTCTAATTTGTGCCAGGGCCAGTTTGGCCCCAGGATTATGGGAGGTAGAAAGGTGACCTAGACCAGTGGTTTTCAAACTTTTTTTCTGGCGACCCAGTTGAAGAAAATTGTTGATACCTGTGACACAACGGAGCGGGAGATAAGGGGTTTGGGGTGTGAGAGGGACTCAGGGCTGGGGCAGAGGGTTGGGGTGTGGGGGTGAGGGCTGCGGGGTGGGTCTGGGAATGAGGGGTTCACGGTGTGGGTGGGGGCTCTAGGCTGAGGCAGGGTGTTGGGGTGCGGGAGCGGGTCAAGGCTCTGGGCTGGGGGTGCAGGCTTTGGGGTGGGGCCGGGGATGAGGGGTTTGGGGTGCAGGAAGGGGCTCTGGTTTTGGGGAGGGATTGGGGTGCAGGGTTGGGGCGTGGGCTTACCTGGGGTGGCTCCTGGTCAGCGGTGCAGTGGGGGTGCTAAGGCAGGCTTCCAGCCTGTCCTGGCACTGTGGACTGCGCTGCGCCCTGGAAGCAGCCAGCAGCAGGTCTGGCTCCTAGGTGGAGGTGCGCAAGCAGCTCTGCACGGCTCTCGCCCGCAGGCACTGCCCCCCCAGCTCCCATTGGCTGGGAACTGGCCAATGGGAGTGCAGAGCCGGTGCTCGGGGTGGGGGCAGCGCACGGCGCCCCATGGCCCCCACGCCTAAGAGCCGGACCTGCTGCTGGCTGCTTCTGGGGTGCAGCGTGGTGTCAGAACAGGTAGGGACTAGCCTGCCTTAGCTGGATGGGACTTTTAATGGCCCAGTTGGCGATGCTGACTAGAGCCGCCGCGACCCAGTGCCTTACATTCTGCGATCCAGTACTGGGTCGCGATCCGCAGTTTGAAAACCACTCGCCTAGAGCCACCTTTGCTTATCCCTCTTCAGCTGTGTTCCAGTCTAGCTGGGGGCTGAGCCCTTGTATTGTAGTATCTTAAT